TCACAGCTGTTCTCACTGTATTTGCAGATGGAGTTAAAGCACCTTTGGTTATAATAGGAAAGTCAAAGAGGCCTAAATCATTTCCTAAGCGTTTCGACCCAACGCGAGATTTGAGAATATACTATTATAATCAAGGTCATGCTTGGAATACACAATATCTTTGGGAGAAACAGGTCACTGCACTAGATAAAGCAGCTGCCAGTCAAGGTCGAAGAGTTTTACATCTGGTGGACAACTGCTCGGCGCATGCTATTGATTACAGCAGCTTTAAAAATGTCGAGACCCAGTTTCTGCCACCCAACCTCACATCTGTGGTACAGCCTGTAGACGCCTCCATTGGAAGATCTTTTAAAGCGGCATTTAGGAGGTTGTTGGTTAATCACGTACTGGAGTATGTCAATGTACAGATGGCGAAACCCCCTGAGTGTCGAGAGTCATTTAAGCTGTCAAAAGCTGTGACGATTTATGATGCGGTGTGTATGATGGCAACAGCGTGGAACCTCGTGCCGACAAAGGTGGTTATTAATGGTTGGCTGAGTTGTGACATACTGGCACCTTATCAAGACAGAGAGCTCCGTGCTGCTTTATTATCTGCCACAGATTGTGGGAAGAGTGCCAAGCTGCCACATAGTGGAACACCGTTACAAATACAGAACACAATATCTGAGCATCGGTCACGGGAAGCAAAGCGTCAGGGCGCTGACTATCTTAAATATCTTGAGAACACTACTGTACAAAGTGATGTTGACTGTACAAACCATATCATAACGCAATCTGAATGGCTTGATGGTGTTATGGAGCACTTGGCTGATGATCTCAGGGGACTCGAGAATTGCTCCGTTATTGATAATTTAGACGTTTCTGAACTCAGTTCTTTTTTTAATGCGGAACAAGAGGAGGATACAAGCCATCCGATTGAGGGTAATTCTATTCACGATAGCGTCTCGTGTGTGTTGGACAGTGATAATTCTGCCGAGGGAGCGGAGGATGAGGATGCGGATGCCATTGAGGCACCCCCGAAAGGCTCTGTGGGTCGTTGGCAAGCATCAGCACGTGCTCTTATTTGTGAGACTGAGGTGCTGCTCGCTGAGAGCCATCCAGCGATTAACAGCTCTCGTTCTCGGGAGATGCTGCAGCTTCTCAGGGTTGAACTTGCCCAAAATGGACTGTACAGGAGCCGAAACTCACGCCGGAAAAAAAATCACCCAATACTTTTCGCGCAAAGAGTCTCAAAAATAAAGAAAAATCTATCACATGAACAGTTACAAGTCCAATATATTTGTCACTATACAGAGTTGGTCACTGTAGGCGAGCGTGTCATTATTCTGGGGAGAATCGGCCATTAGGGGGCCATATGAGGAGGGGGTTCGCCTTGAGACGGCATATCTGTCACAAGAACAGGAACTGTCATTACTTGAGGCCGTCAGTCGAGAGGGACTTTACTCTGTAATATCAGATGGATCGAGATCTGGTCGTGGCAAAGTATTCAGCATTAGCTGGCGTGTTTCGGTCTCCTCTACCCACTGCCCGGTCTCCTTTTCTTAGTCTATCCTCTGCTATCCGGTCCTTATATACCTCTTCGCACCTCTGCCTCTATCTATGTCGATGCGCTTTCCTTACAAGCTCCTTCTCCAATTGTCCCGACTTTGCATGCGCCTGTGCCGTTTTGCATTCATTCATGTGTGGATATCAATTCACTTCCACTGCCCTGCACTTTGTCTTTTGTCAATTGAGTTATATCCTTTGGTGTGCTGCACCCTGCATTGACCTCATCTTTGGTCTCAGTGTCATCCATCGTCTGTAGTGTCCGTGCATACGGATATTCCCTGCGTAATCATATGCAAACGCAGTTGGCTGTTCTCATCTCTGTGTACTCTTCATGTTCATTATTCTCATCCGCGTCTCTTCCTCGCGCTGTGACTCCTCAGGTATCAAATATATGCGTTCAACATCAACGGACCTTCCCGAACGGTTGCGACGTCCGACGGCGGTGTGCGTTCTGTGCTCTTGCGAGTAATATCACTTTCATAATCAACGTATCCGTACGTGTTCAATCTTTACGTATTATTTCATTAAATACTTCCATATGTCGTGACGTGGGTCGATTCATAACAGTACCCTTCTCATCGGCTTAATTTGGGTACGTTAAGGATTTTTCCTGAAATCGGTCATTTTACCCGTCTACTGGCCGGTTTTGCAGTACTAAAAAATCAATTTTTGGCCGCTCCACCTGCCATCCGGCTCAATTCGGGTACATGTACCCACATACATCGGAGTTACGACAATCCCAGCGAACATCGTGCCGCGACGTGCTGCCGATCTGCACAAGCACTCTCTTCCCTCCCTTGTCGACGAGACGGAGAACGTCTAGGCCACTTTTTGAAGGAAATATTATCAAGAGAAGTCCAAAAACTGCTCTCCAAATTGCGAACCTAATTGACTTTGTTCACAAACGCCACCCGCGTGCCTTGATAGCCTGTGTGTGTTTACTATGCACATTTCCATACCTCGCAGGCTGTGAGAGCATCTGAGGGGCATTGGACGTCAGAAAAGCCACGCCTTTCATGCTTCTAACACTCATACGATGCTTTGAGGGCGACTACTGCTTTCTTTAATATTCTCAGTTATAAAAAAAAGGCATTCTACGCGGCTAGCGCGCTCTTCTCTACTCTTGGTGATTCGTAACTTGTGTGCGAGGGTTGTGTTCTCATTTCCAGCGGCATACCGCCACCGTCGAGCCAGGAGGCGGGTAGAGAAGAGGAGGAAAAGCCTTACTGTCCAGGTGCTGCGTGCGTGTATATATATGTGTGTGTGTGTGTGTGGGATGGACTCTGCATAGTTTTGGAAGGCGGGGAGGGAAGAGGATCGTTGGTTGAAAAGTACCCAAATTAACCCACTGTCCAAATTGAGGTGCTAAGAAGGGTACCATCCTCTGAGACCTGTTCTTAACATAGGGCGCACTACACTTCACTCACTCAGTCTAGCGGTAGGTACCACGTGGTCACTCTGAACGACATCCCAGTACATGGGCAGCTACGGAACGCATACTCCCCCCCCCCCCCCCCCCCCCCGTCAAGTAAGGAATCCGCTAACGATAAACTGATCGGTGAGAGACAAGCTGAGGTCACTTGATGTCAGCATCTCGGGTGGTGCTGGCTGCGCAAATCACTGTGGCTTGTTCAGGGAGAGGAAACTTGGCAGAGCCGGATGTTGGTGAGTTTGAAATCTTGAGAAGCAGTAAGGGGCACATTTGCAGGGCGGGATTCCTTCTACTCGAACACACAAATACTTAAGTCTAAGCCCAATGAAGGCTTTTTCATGCTGTAGCTGGGTGTGAACTGCGTAATCACGGAGGGCCTGATTGTATTGATCATGGCGGGATATCAGTGTCCAAGCTTAGTTGTTCTCTCATAAACTGACTGGCTTAAGTCACCTCTTGACGTCGCAAGTGGCGTTTGACCTCATATTTGTGGACGGGATTTACAAAAGGATATTGAGTGTTGGGTAAGAAGAGTATTGAACGAACCCAGCGCGGTGAGTACCATTTCCGTAGACCAGAGCTCAGAATAAATAGCTGTGCTGCCTTATGAAGCTGAGTTCGAGCGCAACGACGGAGCCCTTAAGGATGTGTGGGCGGGCGAGTTCGTTTTTGCGAAAACAAGGCGTAGAAGTAGAATTAATACAACAGTGTGTGAGAGAGCCTGTGGAAATTGTCTTGACGGTATTGGCAGGGATCAGGCTATAGATCTTCAATAGTTGCGGGCTCAACGCCTGCATCTCAGGAAACCATATAGCATAGAGGCGCCGCGAACTTCAGGAGAATAGTCAGCTTTTTGAGGATAATACGGGCTTACTTACTCATGGCGAGGGGAATGAAAGTGACGACCATCACAGTGTCGGGTGTTACCATCACAGAAAATGAAGTTATCAACCATGCAGAAGGCGGGAGAGATGTCCTAGAGCGTTACAGTGGAATACAGAAGCGGGCTGGGGTCAATCCAAGAGCCCTGATCGCAGGTGGAAGAGCTTTTCTACAGCACATGCCTGGGCCTGGAGGAGCGGAACCTGTGTACACAACTCTAAAAAGAAAACGGACTTTGAACCAGGCATGTAGCATGTTTCGTGACAAGAGAAACGCGCGAGACAGTCATCAGAGGTCATCATATCAGTTAAGCTATCGATAACGTCTTTGACTGCGTCGCAGCTTCAACAGGCGAGGACATACTTACCGGGGCCACGGAAAAAGTATCGTGAGAAGCTGAAATGAAGAACGATTTCCTGTCTATAAACATAGAAGGACTATCACTGTACCTCGAAGCGTTCAAACGAGAGGAGTTCTCAGTTCTCGTAATTTTGGGCACAGAAGAACACCAACTACCGTAACCGCCTACTCGATCACGTCGTACCATCCCGTGATGTGGGTGCTCAGTTGCACAGGTGGGCTCGGTCACCTGGAAAATGGTGAAAGTGAGTTACACGCCGTCTTGCGACACTTCTGAACCTAAAGACTACAACTTGTGTTGCCCACAGTATTGTTTGAGGGCATGAGTTTCATCAATTTACCTCCTTGTTGTCAGTTTTCTCTTATGCATCTTCATGCGAAAAACGATATCTCCACAGGAATGGTTACACGAATGATTTGTTGAGCAAAGCTGGACAACAAAGATATGCAAGCCTAGTGGGAAGATGCAAACTACATTGAGTGCATGCAACACAGATAAAGTCCCCGCAGGCACACGTTAGACACGTTCATTGAAGTTACAAGGCCTCTTTACGCAAGATGGAAATGAAGCGAACACGCATTCCTCCCATTCTGGAGCTCCTACCGTTGAATCGAGTCAATTTCTGATCGGTTGACATCAAGCGAAAGAAAGACGGCACGGCTTATGAGGCCGCGCACTACCAGAGGCGATTACTTCTCATTTGTGATGTCAACCGTGAGATTTAAATAGTGAGCATCAGCACAATGTACACCGCTCATTTGTGGCTGGCGTCATGTCTTGAGCTAGCCACCATCTTTACTCATATGACAGGCGAGGTGGGCTACCGACCCGTCGGGGTAGGCCGCAAGAACTGAATTTCCGATCCGCCTTGTGCACAGCGTGCATGCTCGGTCGTGGCCTATGAGCACAAATCTACGTCGTCTTGTAAGCACCTCTTCCCGTAATCGGCGGACCTCGCTCTTTCGAGAAGCTCGGAATATGTCGGCAAGACGAAGCCTTTCGTTCCCTGACTCAAGTGCTGCTTGAAGGAAGGGACGCATCTCGGAAACTGTCAAGGAATTATCAGAACAGCGCCCGTCCAGCAATAGTTTTTCAATTTCAAGATGGCCCCCACCGCATCGAAGTACCTTGCTAGCATCCTGAATTCTCATTGCTCGTCCCTCACAAGACACGCGCAAGTATGCCGCTACCAAAGAGTCGGACGCCGATGGTTTGTCTAGCACGGAAAGCATACGAGTTAGTCTTGCCAGTGCCTCATCCGGGGCAAGATTTGGTTCCGCTGCTAGTTCATCTGCAGCAGCTTCATGCCGTCCTTGCCTTCCTAACAAGAACGCTAGTTCCTCATGTAGTCCAAGGGCCTTGTTCTCGGTCGTTTGTAGGGCTTGCAAGAGTGTGTACGAATGGTATGACTGATCTGGACGATGTAGGATAGAAGTCCCAAAGAGTGCCCGTAAACGGTCGAACACATTTCGCTTCTCAAGCATACTAGCTCTCACCATTCCTGCAAGCATTGCAGAGGCGAGAACATCGGCAGATGCTGTTTCTTCCGCTTCTGTGCCGCACTTCTTCTCCTCTGGTCCCTCATTTCCTTCATCGCAGCACGCCTTCGAGAGTTCTCTTACCACCATATCGACAAGTTCTTCTACTTCTTCAACCAATACCTCGAAAACCCGTCGAAGTAGGGTTTCCGAATCTTGGCAGTCATGCACAACTTTTACGATGAGCTTGCGTAGTTCATCTCGGCCGTACCTTTCCTCTCTGGATCTATGCGCAAGCCATTTCAAGTTCGAGAAGAAAGAATCTGGGTCGTCACTGGCCCGCATGCCATCTGAAAGATACCCAGCAACTCCATTGAAAGTGTTTTGTTTGTCCGAGTTTTTTATCAGGAGAAGGGCCTTTCCGTGCTCTCCCAGAGATGTATACAACGCAACGAGTGCCTCCACGCGCTCTTCCTCGCGCAGTGCACATTCTTTTCGAGTGATTAAAGTTTCTCCCGTATGCAATCCAACGGCATGGTCTACAGCCATCAGGGCCTTAATTCGGGCTGCGGATTCATCGGCGTAGCACAAAGTTTCCAGGACGTCGATATCCGCCAAGCTGGGTCGCATGATGCGACGGCGCAAGCGGAACAGAAAATCTGCCCAAAGCGTAGCGATATCCTTGTCTTTGTGCCATCCTCCATTGCGTGGTCCCCGAAGTTCGACCGCTTCTGTGATGAGATCAACCTGGTTGATTCCTTCTCGTCGTACCACCAGGTTGACAACGTTCTGCATGTGATGCACGGCTGCATCGTGCCATTCCTCTTGTCGTGCTTCTTTTGCAAGCATGCGCCGCAGCGCTATCATTCTATCGACTTGATCTGCCGGTACCAATGCCAAAGCCAACCGAAGTTCTCCTTCAGCTTCTTTTTGCTCAATGAGTGACTCCAGATCATCTGTTAGTTCTACGACAACAACGCGACCGTTTGGCCAATACACTGCAGCAAGGGCGCGATCCTTTCGACACAACATGATCTTCGCCCCTTCTTCTAGTTTCTCCTGCCCTTCCACGAGACACAGTTGTTCTACAACCCCTGGAAGTGAGCCGTTGGAGGCAAAAGCCATGATTTCACTTTTCTGAGTGACAGAAAATATGAACGGGGACGAAAAGACAGTGTCTTTTGGGGGCTTTTCGGATCGGGTTGCTAAAGTCTCGTCGAGAAAGGTCCTTTGGGATATACCCGTCGCTATGGAACTTAAGGACGAAATGGAATCTCGTTTGGTCATGGGCGGTTTAAGGTCTGTACTTCCTTCTGTACCAAGACCAACGCTTCCGGTGTCAGACATATCTAGACCACTTCTACTCTTGAACACATTTTCTAGGTCGTCAATTCTCGCTCCGAAAGAGGAATATGGTACAAGTTCCTGATCGACAGTGAGCAACCATCTGTTATCCGGAAGCGCAAAAGCAACTGCTGAGGCAACGTTCGCAAGCATACTTTTCCTTGCAAACAAGCCACCTAGGAACGAAAGCATGGCGGCGCCCCCATCACCGACCGCACCACCAATAGCAGTCGTCTGCTTCTTGGTGACATTGGTTCGCTCGACTGTGGCAGCCAACGCCAATCGACCACCTCGGGAAATGCGTAGCATATGATGCTTTTTGGCCGTTGACGCGACAATCGTCATCTCCGAAAACGCAACTGCTGCGACGCGTTCTGCCAGAATGTGTTCTCCCAACACAGTGACTTTCCGTCGCACGGGGTTGACATCTAAGAGGCATACCTTCTCAGCGCACGCCATTGCGACCCGAAAAGAGTCTACTACCAAGTCGGAGCCGAGACTGTCCACCGAAAAAGTGTGAGTGGTCTTGGAAATGGCTGTCAACTGATTAGTAAGCTGGCCTTCTACCTCCAGAAGGTTGGGCAGCGCATACAGACGCAGGCCGATGCTCTCAACAAGTGTGAGGACGAGAGACTTCTCCTCAGGTAGCGAATCGGCCTCGTAAGAAGCGTATCGCACGCAAGCAAGCGCGCGCACCGGGGCGGTTGTGGACACCCTGATGTCAGTGCCATAAAGCAGCTCCTTGGCTTCCGTGGTAGCGACGACGACATCCGTGCCCGGCACGGTGGCGGCCGCAAGGACTCGGGAGCCGCGCACATCGATGGAGGGAGCTGAGCGGGTGCAAAGTAGGGACGCCATCACCGTTCCAAGATTTGCGGGCGAGCGCGAGCGTCTTTTACAGTGGCGGGCGCTGAGATATGGGGAGACTGCGTGGCGTGTGAGTTGTGCGTAAAATGGGACATTTCGATGGGAAAAGCCCCCCAACGGCGAAGCGTGGCCTGCGTCGTTAAGTTTTTGAACCTTGGAACCGGGGAGAGGCTGAATTCGTTGAGTGCCCGTGATACGGGACAGTGTACAGAACCCTCGCGAGGATGGAATAGAAGATATAGGTGCTGGTGATGCAACGACGGAACGTTTGCAATTGGGGCCAAGTTAACGGTTCAGTGCGTGGTTTGCAAAAAAAAGTTTCTATTGTTTATATTTTTCAGGTTTCTTAATATGACCCTGCCTCACGCCTTCGTTTCTCGCCCTTCAGTGTACACTCGTCGGCGTCCCCATAGCTCAAAAAGGGTTGCATGCATTTTGAATCGTCTTCACTTCGGAGCTTTAACAACCTCTCGGGCCAGCGAGTTGTTGGTAGGATTTCATCAAGAAATCGCACCAAGAAAAACGCAGTTTAACGACCCAACGTGCACGGCCCCATTTCGCTATCAAGATGATCAGCATTCGTCAGGCAGTGGTAAGTATCTGATTTCTACTCAACAGTTCCCGCCTGTCCTGTTGGTCAGTTTCGGCGAGAGACGGCGAGAGATCTTCAAATTTCTTATCCGCCAACTATCGAAACGTTCACCCCACTCGCCCTCTCCAACAAATTCTGATTACGCCTGCGCCTCTTTATTTCCCTATGCGCGATGCGTCGCTCAACCACCAGGCCGAGGATCTGCTCGCCATCCAAGCATGCAACCTCGCCTGCCTCCCCGAAAACTACCAGATGAAGTATTTCTTCTACCACATTCTCTCCTGGCCGCAGCTCATGTTTGTCGCTGAGGACGCACGCGGACGGGTCGTGGGCTACGTGCTCTCTAAGCTGGAAGAAGAGTCCTCTCTCGTCCGCGGACACATAACCTCTCTCGCTGTCCTGCGTCCGTATCGGAAGATGGGTATCGCGCGCCGTCTGATGGAGTGTGCCCATGCAGCTATGAAGGAGACGTTTCAGGCAGAGTATGCGAGTCTGCACGTGCGGAAGAGCAATGATGCTGCAAAGCATCTCTATATTGAGACGCTTGGTTATAAGGTTCATGACATCGAGGCCAAGTACTACGCAGACGCCGAAGATGCTTACGATATGCGGTGCGATTTCAAAGAAAAGTCCAAAGAGACTGTAGACACTGACAAACCGAACGCGTGAGACACCCGTCGTAAGGAATTGTAAACTACTCGAAGCACATCGTTGACGGAGTTGAGCATTCCGCACTCCCCTTCCGAAATGATAGACTTTCGAAACCGCCTATCAGTGAACGATGGCATGTATCTCGAGCCTTGGACACTGCAGCGACAACAAATGCAAAATGCGATCGATGTTGCCTCCGGGAAGGTATGTAAGAATGTATTTCTAATGCGATTAGGGAATTGCGGTGACCCGAAACAGTTTAGATCAACCAAGCCACGCCACATCAACAGAACGATCAATGCGACAGGTTAAGTTGTGTTTAGCGAACCTCATGACACGATCAAGGAGGCACAAGCACGAAAAGAGAGATGTATTTGCTACCATGTTAGACGAACACACCATTGTCCACGCAGTATCTACGACACCCGAGAAACCCTAACAAACACCGAGAAGAAAGAGCGGCGTATGTGCAGATGCCACGAAACAGACTCTCCGCAAATCTCGAGAGCAAAACGCATCTGACAACGCACACACTCATCTCGCCATTGAAATCAATGTCCATACCAGCCCTGCTCACTTTTTCAACCACTCCCCCCTCGTCTATCATGTAAGAGATCACGAATTCGATAGCGCAGCGACTAGATCACTGGAGCAAATTCATTTTCCTTCAATTCGAGAGACAGCACTCTTGTCGTGCGAGAGTAGGACAGGAATCGTAGACCAGCTTCGTGACTCACTCCGCTTTATCGGCGTTTTCCTCCCCATCCTCCCCTTCTTGATCCGACTTCCACAAGGTCAAGTTGTCGCGCAAGAGCTGCATAATAAGGGTCGAATCTTTGTAGGAGTCCTCACTCAGGGAATCGAGCTCAGCAATGGCGTCGTCAAAGGCTTTCTTTGCCAGATCGCATGCACTGTCAGGGCTGTTGAATATTTCGTAGTAAAAGACAGAAAAGTTGAGAGCAAGGCCGAGACGGATCGGATGTGTTGGAGTGAGATCGGTGACGGCGATATCGGTGGCCTTCTTGTAGGCGTCAAGGGAGAGCTGAGCGGCGTCTTTTCGATCGTTCTCGTCGGAAAACTCTGCGAGGTAGCGGTGGTAATCACCCTTCATTTTGTAGTAGAAGACCTTAGATTCACCTGATTGCGCCGATACGATAAGGTTCTTGTCGAGAATCTCGAGAATATCCCTGCAAATGGAGTTGAGCTCCTCCTCAATGAGGGATCGGTATTCCTTAGTGATCTTGACGTGCTTATCATTGCGCCGGTTCTCTTCTTTTTGTTCGATGGAGGAGATGATGCGCCAGCTTGCGCGACGAGCACCGATTACGTTCTTGTAGGCGACTGAGAGGAGGTTGCGCTCCTCGACGCTAAGTTCTCCTGTGTTGGCGTCGGTGAGATGAGCCACCTTGGCCATTTCCTTAACCATTTCTGTTGTTGATTGGCAATGATGATGACATATCGCATGGGCATGACGTCAGGATGAGGGCTCGGAGCGGGGCAAACAACGGGTGTGTGCAAGGGGAGGAGACGGGTTTGGGGGACACGTACCGTCATATCGCTCGGCCTGCTCGGCGAGCTTGGCCAGATAGACAGCTTTCTCTCTGGCGGCAAGATCCATTTAGAATAGTGGTGATAAGACGCGTGGGAACTAGGGTGGGGCAATCGGTGAGAGCAATGATGAGGACAAGAAATGGGAAAGGAGCATAGGTCAGTAAGGAGAGCGGGAGAATGAAGCGTACTGAGGCAAGCGAAAAGCACGGAACGGGACGGGACATCGGTGACAGTGCGCGATCGGCAAGTGGAAGGTGAATGTGTCGAAATCGGTAGTGTCAATGGCGCTTACGTGGGGGCCGACGTACCAAAAAGCGAGCGACTAAGCGAAACGGGAGCAGGGAGGAGAAGACGAAACAGTGCGGCTCGCGACGAAGAGCGTGAAACCGAGGAAGAGGGAGTAGAAGAGAGAAAGGCGAAAAGTAGGGGAAGGACGGGACGGACGGGGAGTGGAGGGATAGACGGTATACGAAAGGCAGGGGCCGAGTCGTGGCAAAGGGTTGGTGGGGTGTAGTTGAGGATCAGGGGCGAGGAGGGTGTGAGCGGGGGATGGCGGGGAGGATGTTGGATTCAAGGTTGATTTTGGGGGTCTCTCCCATGATGGGATCCGTTAGGCGGCGGTTGCTCGGGGCGGCCAATGGCGGGCGGGTGTAGGCCGGCACCAACCGCTGCCCTCCGCGTTCCAGCACGCCTTCTGGAAGCGCCGGACGCGCTCTCTTCCCTTCTCCGCCCATCCGCCCCCTGCCCGGCCACTTGTCCCTTGGTGGAGGGACACGTGTCCTTACTTCTACTTGGCGCCTTCCCAGTGGACGATGCGGTAATCCCGCGTTTTTGGCACTCCTTGCCCACGTCCGTCACACTTGTGTGTGCCTCAACCCTCTCACCAACCCGCGCTGGAGAGTAGAGTCTCTCGCTGTCCCTTCGCGTGTGCGCCTACGTTGCGGCCGGGGAACCCGGTTGCCGCCTCACGCCCTTTCTCGCTTATTCCACACCGCCGCTATGCCCCCTCTTGCGCCACCGGTGCATCTGTCGCCGCCTTGCCCTTGTTCTACACGACCTGTTCAACCCGACCTACTGTGCCCCACGCGGTAACGGAGCAACCCTCGCCCAGTTTAGCACCCGCGTATCAAGCCAAACAAAGGATCCGCGAACTGCCTCGTATTCGACGGCACTTCATGTCACTGTCTCACTTTTGGAAACACTTTTTTGGCAAACAACCCCGCTTTGCCCTCGCCGCGCGTGCCTGCGTGTAACGCAAGCAGCGCCTGTGCCTGCTACGTGCAGGGTTGCAGAGCAACAACGCTCAGATACAGAGTCACGTTGCCTTCCTACGTATGCCTCTGCGCATGAAAACAACGCCTGAGGCGGCACACCCTCAGCAGCGACTATCGTTTGCACCATCGTGTTATCGTCTCCAGAGTCGACGGAGGGCAGCACATTGCCCTCAATCCCTGCGTGCGTCCGTACAAGGCACGGTCGCGCTAGCCCCCTGTGGACGTGGCTCCCATTCTATGTAGAACGAAAACGCGATTACGCTGCGTGCTGATGTCAGCACGCAGCGATGTCAACATCGCCAACAAAAGCTCGACGTCGACATGGGACAACTGACGAGGGGCAGACGCGACTATGACGTTAGAATTTCGATTTATTGAAATCAGGCTGCCACGCTTTTGATTCGCCCTTCAAATCGACTGCCCTGTACTGTATACTGCACTGTATACTGCACTGTATATGCATCCAATCCTCCTTACACAACAGGTGTCAGCGTCACCCGTCGCCACCGCCACCGCCACTGCGCAATCCAATTCCACAATCCCCTTCCCCCCGCGCCCCCGTACCCCCCCCCCTTTCCGTCTGCTGCTCCTCGTCACACCCCTGTTAACCACTTCGTCACTCTCCCACTCGTCCTAATCTCATGACCTTGACATGACCGCGGCTGAGCAACCTCCCCCCGCCGAAAAAGATGCCTCCCCCCGGGCCTCCCCCATCGTCCTTCCCCCCGGCCTCGACTCTGGCGACATCGTCCTCTTCAACAGGCGCTGCCTCTCCATGCCCCCCGCTGGCGCCGCTCTCTGTGCAGTGTCCAAACTCTTCTCTAATTCTGCATGGGATCACGTCGGCGTTGTCATCCGCCACCCAGCCACGGGCGAACTCCTGTTTCTCGAAGCAGACTTCGGCGGGGTCAAGCTTCGTTCCTTGGAGGAGCGCGTCCGTAGATCGAAGTCCAATGAGATTGCTGTGCGCAAGCTTTCCGTTGTCCGCTCCTCGTCCATGCGCGAAAAGTTTTACGCCTTCGCCCAGGAAATGCTGGGCAGGCCGTATGAGATTGGCGCGGGCTCCGTCATGATCCGCGTCGCTGACCCACTTGCAAAGAAGGAGCGCGAGAGACTTGCTGCCTTGCTGATTGATAAGCGCGCCCAGATTGATGAGATATCAAAGGAGTTGCAGACCGCTGCCCTCACCAACTTTCAGAGACGTTTGTTGCTCGGCGAACGTGCGCGTGTTCAGGAGGACTATGAAAAGATCAATATACGTTTAAAAAAGGAGCTCGAGGTGAATGCGCCTATGGAAATGATGGATGATCAAGATGGACAGGTTGTCGATCCTGTGCAAGTGGAGAAGAGTGACCTCTCCCGTGTCTTTTGTTCCGAGCTTGTCGCGGCTGCGTATCAACGTGTCGGTTTACTGGAGAGTTACCCGCCGGCGTTTTATTATACTCCAAAGGACTTTTCGTCTGAGCAACAGCACCCGCCTGGCGTCCATTTGCTCAAAAGCGCCCGTCTAGGCAGAGAAAATCATTTGCGCCGCATTGCACGCGCGTCAAAAGGTGTCGGCGATATGAGTAAGATGCGTAGTTTTCGAGGTGTCGTGGAAGGTGACACCCCTTCGCGCGCCTCCCGCAAGGTTATTAAGGACGCCCTGAAGAGAACCCCTATTTATGGCATGGTGCCCGATGAATACAAGCGGTCGCATCTGCTCAAATCCTTCCGCGCCCGTATTATTGAACAGGGTGATATTGTCTTTGAGCAAGGGGAATACGGCGATAGAATTTTCGTGGTCGGTAGCGGCGGGCTCGAACGCTTCATGTCGAAAGGCGAGGAAGACCCCATACTGTTGGCTACTATTGGACCTCGCACCACTTTTGGATTGACCGCATTTATTTTTAACTGTCCTCGCGTTTCCACGATTCGAGCGAAGGAACGGACACTATTATGGGAAGTGGATAGACCAACGTTTGAGCTATTCAAGGATACTAGCTCTGATATCAAGTCCATCGTCTCTACGGCTGACACGCGAAGTTTGAGGAGACTTCTGCAGGAGCACTTTTTGTTCAAACGTCTAGACAAACTTGGCCCGAATGAGATGAGCGCCTTCTTCCTGGTCAAGTTTCGCGCTGGGGAAACCGTTTTTGAACAAGGCGACGCAGGTGATAATTTCTATATTATAAAAACCGGAGAACTGGAGAGACACATTCGCCACCCCAAACTATCTCGCAATGGAGACTCCAGGAATGGGAATGATAGGGGAGAAGAAGAAATTTCATCTCTATCCAAGACTCTTGAACAAGGCCAAAGTTTCGGTGAATTGAGCCTTATGTATAATGCACCACGAGCGGCTACTGTACGGGCGCGAACTGATACAGAGTGCTGGGCTATATCATCGGAATCCTTTCATCGTCTTAATCTTGGCGGAGGGACACAATATCTTCGAGCTATTTTCGATCAAAATGCACATATCAAGAAAGATGGAGAGTCTTACATGACGCGCTCGGATCTCCTCAAATTCGCAGGTGTACATGCATTTCCCGAGGAAGAAAGGGAAAGACTTGCGAAATTGCTGGTGTCTCTGGTTACAAGCAATCGCGAACGCGACCCTATGGCAGAGAAGAAGGATTATGCAATACTTGCAGCCAAGTCGGATGGGGAAAAAGGGACAGACCACGAAACAAAAATCAGATCGAGTACAGAAGGCGACGACGATGATGATGAAATCCTCATGGACTTTTGGGAGTTTGTTCGCTTCGACATTGTCTTGAACCAAACTGCTGCAGAAATGAACTTTGCTTTCCGTTTAGCAGATCAAAATAATTCTGGTTTCATTTCTCTCGATGAAATGCAGTATTTGTGGCATGACTATGCAGATATCGACGAAAGCGCAAAGCGCATGTTAATGGAGGAAACCCCAACCTTAAAGAAGGTTTTTGGCAGAGATGGTTCCCGAGTTCTCTCCGGAAGAGAATTCCAAGAGTGCTCACATGATATCTTACCGCCCTTATTCCGGAAAGATGTTGCAAATCTAACTCGTCACATGCTCAACATTGACTTGGAAGGAACAGATGTACTGCGAACCGACTTGGACGACTTATCAGTTGTTGAGGCAGACGGTGCCTTATCCGTGATCGGGTCGCAGTTTATGAAGTACTCCCCACGCGGCTCAGTACCGCCACGGGGTAGCATGAGAGTGTATTCGACCACCACTGACAACAGCAGCATGCCGAAATGGATGCAGCGGTTAGATTGGGGTCATCTTTTGTCAGTCGGTGTCGCAGGCGCAGTTTCTCGTACATCTGTAGCTCCACTGGACCGCATGAAAATTTTGATGCAGACTGGAGGCACAAAGAGCTTCTCGGAGGGTTGGCTGGCAGCAGCGCGCCAAATGGTCAAGCAAGATAGCAGTATATGGCGAGCGGCGTTTCGGGGGAATGGGGCAAACGTGATGCGGATTGTCCCAAGCGCTGCTATACAACTTTTGGTTGTCAATAGATTGAGAGAGATGGAGGTTGTCCGGCAGCTAATGGCTGGTCCGCAGCGGGCGTCATCTTCATCATCGCCAGGGTCGCCTTCTGGTGAAACAAATGTTCACTTAGTTTCAGGTGGCACGCATGCGCGTGCTGTGGAAGCAGTGCTTGTAGGAGGTCTTGCAGGTATTATTGCAGCAACTGCTATTTATCCGTTGGACTTTATTCGTGGTCGTTTGACATTGCAGCGGAGTGGCTTTCAGCCATACCACGGAGCGTTTCATGGTATATCAGAGTCGATTCGTCGAGAAGGTATTACGAGTGTGTATCGTGGGTTGGTACCCACGATCGCAGGAGTGTTCCCGTACGTCGGCATAAGTTTTGCTATGTATGAGACACTGCGTCCCATTCTGCCAAGGAAAAACGACGGATCTGGCATGCCTACAACAGGGAGTTCTATTGCATGTGGCGCTATCGCCAGTGCAATGGCGCAGCTTGCAGCTTTCCCGCTTGACACTTGCCGTCGAAGAATGCAAGTAGCTGGCTTTGACAGCCAAAGTAGTGCAAAAGCGACGCGTTTCGGCCACATGTGGAAGGAAATCGGCCGTGAAATGGGATGGCGGGGATATTTTCGAGGGGTTCTACCGAATATGCTGAAGGCCTTGCCTGCCTCGGCTGTTTCTTTCGTAGCTTACGAGCAGCTTCGGGGTTCTTTCGCTTCTGCTGAGACTGCGATAGATAGGCTCTTGAAGCAAACAGCGAACCGTGCGCGAACATGATTCAGTGGTCTTGCTCCGCAGTTTTGGGAATATGGCAAGGCGTATAAAGACCTTTGTATACTACAGCATCGATAAGATACAGTACAATTTACTTATTTCGACCTCAAATCTTCATCCCCATCATGTACGTGTAGGCACCACCGCAGGCCTTTCTCGGCTGGAATGGCACTAACGGCCTCTCCATCACTTGAAGGGAACGAAAGCACTCATTTCCGCCTGAAAAGAGGTGGCCATTACGAATGGGCATCAACAGACGCTCTGCTGCGCCTTCTTTTCGAAAATGTGGTGTGTAGCGGTTCTCGACAAAATGGAGCGTTAACAATAGGTGTGAAAGCGTCTTGGCTTGCATGACCAGGAGCATATAACTAAAATCAGATGTCGAAAATAGTTTAGTTAGTTGTGTTTGGTGTTGTCTGTAATTGCAACTTCAACGATTTGCATTACGTTCGGGCGGTTTCGCTACTGAAGCTACATGCCGTGCGGCTAAATCTTGAATTTCTTCAAGGAGCTGTTGGTTCCTCAACCGAGATGCAATGTCTGCCGCTTCCCTTCCGCGGCCACATCGAGCAAGTGCACGAGCTCGGTCTCTGAGATCAGCAATTCGAAGCGCAAACTTCACGGCTTCATCGTCTCTGTGATACTTAATACATGTATCAACAAATGGAGTGAACCCTATTGGCGGTGCCCTTCCTCGCCCCGCTGAGTTTGACAGTGCTTCTATTGACTCGAAATCACCAACCCTCGCCATTGAGTCCAGCACAATCCAAAAGAATCTGCGGTCTGGCATTTTCAACTCTTTCTTGAGTTTGGCAAGCATATCACGTCGACGATTTACGTCTGCGATGTCGCACACAGCTTTGTCGAGTAAGTCGCCGTCATTGCACGACCGCAAATGTCCCGGAGTTAAACGGCTTCTCTTCTCCAGATCAATGGCGCTGTTTGCAACCGCAGCCGCATGCTGAACGGCTTGAATCTCGAACAGACAAGCCTTTCGACTATGACCTCTGCTAAGCGATACTGCTGTTCTCTCGAGAGCAGCCATCCGCTCTCGATGGTCTGCAACCTGGTTCGCCAAAAATACATCTACCACGGCGGCTTCCCTTTTTCTTCCAACTTCTAGATACAAGATTCGAAGTAAGCCGAAGTCCCCAATTTGCTTTAGGTGAGATGCAAGGAGATCCGTTGCCCTGTTGCTGACTGACCAAGGGAGTGTGCGAAGCAATTGGGCAGTCTCACGCACAGTTTTTGTCGATAGAATCGATCGCAAGACATCAAGCACGAGCTCTGGGTCCCCTGATGCAACCGCAGATGCAATTGCAGGTCCTTCTCGGCTCATTTGCAAATACATTGCCACCTTGGGAGCTGGCCTGGTCTCCCTCCTTAACAACAGTTCAGCGCATTTTTGCCTCCCAAGTCTATGGGCAGCTTCAGCTGCTCGCACATACGGCAAAGCTCTCCCCCTGCGACTTCCATACATGTCAATGCCAGTGTAAGATCTACTCACCGCCTCGAACCGTTCGGATATCATCGACGTGATAGCTTCATCAGAATCGCCGATGTTCGCAAGAACAGCATCCGTCGCCCATTCGCACAAAACTTCATAGGGTGAGATGCCACCAAACAGAGCCAGGCGAATGGCTAATGTGTGTAGCCCGAACCAAGAAAGTCTGGCTACGAGTGCAGCAAGCCCAAGGTCATCGAGTTGAGGCTTTGTCAAAGGTATTCCTGCTTCTGCTACTCTCGCGGCATGCATCACTCGCAAAATTGCTATGGCAGTAGGTATCATAACAATATCCCTATGAGAACGACTCGTGTTAGCTCGCCCTGCGCTGGTGTCTCGGGCGACCTGAGTTGGAGATTGGTCTGCATCCAACCCTTCTGAAAAGACGGTTGCATGCCTCTGTCCGTATGCCGCAGCATGTAACAGACTTTGCTGGCGCTGGGCATCCATTTCGAGATATGCAGCCGCCGTACAAGTTCTCGATGCCGCAAGCAGGGTTCCGGACTCTCGCATTTCCCGCAGAAATCCATATCGCAAAAGCGCTACACCACTCGCCGTATCTGTTGCAGGAGTAATTTCACCGCTGCTCTGGAGAAGTTTGTATCCTGGTGCTTGCTTTCTGCATCGGACAGCATGTACAGGCTCGGCAACCATTTGCACAAACTCGACCTGATTCCGCGAGATGAGGCGCAGCCCGTCGACCTCAGAGTGAAGCAGAATACCGCCAAAGGAGGACTGCTCATCTAAACCAAGCACAGCAACACCACCATGCGGTCCAACGAGAACGAGGTGCTCCTTGTACAGCGCTGCTACAGCATCGCTACCAACCCAGGCAATAGATTCTGGCATCTTGGCGTCGAAAACGACGTCAGAACGTACATTCTCCACATGTAAGGCAGCCAGCTCCACGACAAGGTTAACTCGAGTAATCTCAGCATCGAGGTCTACCGTTCTCACGAATATATTTCCTGTAGTGCTTTCCATAGCGGCGAGGTATTGGGCGTTTGGTGAAACGCAAATCTGGGATACGTCTCTCTCTCCAGGCATATGAATAAGACCTGACGAGTTTAAAAGCGCGACGTTCCCATCCTCCACGATGAACAAAGTCTCCACCGCACTATGGGCGCTGTCCTTCGGTTGAAAGGCGGCGATACAAGCGTTCGGCACCTCTCGTACAACTCCTTCCGGTGTTTTGACCACTACTGGACTTGATTGTACCTTGTCCTCAGGACTAAGCCTGTAAATTGCGCCAGTAGCACCCCTCAGCACCACTTCCCCAGTTTCGACAACGCAAGCATCATTAATGTGTTCATCTTTCTCCGGGTCAAAGACCTTAACCACTTTCGCCTTACCCAGTCGGACCCCCGATGGTATCCTCATGACAGCACCGTCATTGTAAACAATAGTGAGCAAGTCGTGCACACTCCACCCGAGCGCGACAGCACGGAAGGGCGGTACGGTTTTCTCGCGCAGCCTGTCGAACGACTTAATCAAGCGGCCAGAGAGCGTGTAGATTGCCAATGCGAAGGAGAGTCCCCAACCAGCATCTGATACTATGGCGATGGGGCCGCCGCTCGGGGCAGCGCAGGCGATGGCTTGCGACATCTCCTCGGAGCGCAACGACCAGGGCAAAGCAGCGTAATCCACATCCCGCCGGTAGAGTCTGTTCTCCAGGCCTGTCCACCCGGGCGGGAGGGAGTCGACAGAAGTGCGCTCCGCGAGCATGGCGGAGTAGGCTGCGCGGTTAAGCAGAGGGGGGAATCCTCTTTGCTCTGAGAAAACGTTGCTCTGATAGAAAAGGGGTGATTGGCTACCTCAAAAATCATCAATACCCAATGTACGGTATTCAATACCGTGCACTACATTGGAGGGCAAAACTGTATATCCTTGGGTACTGTGTTTACGATATATAGACGGGCCCGTATCGTATACAGATGTAGTGCTCATAAAAGGCAATACCGTACAATGCTGTAGCACTTCTCGTGAAAATGGCACGCGGTTCTGACTTGTGCGCAATACAGTTCGCCTTGATCGTAACTCAATGTGTCGTCCGTCTTAGTTCTTACTGAAAACCAGAACAGCAACAATTCCCTTTCGCGTAGAGCAGTACCGCAGAAACCCGCAGAAACCCGATAATCTCTCCATGCAAACAAAAACAGTCTCATGTGAGCTTTAAACACCAAAACAAAAATTCTCTACCGGACTAAAGACTAGGAAGCAGCAACTCCTGTTCAAGCAAAGCATCCAGTCTATAAATTCTCAAATTAAGGTTTGTGACGCTCCCCTCGCTGCCCTATCCCAGAAGTACTTGCATAACCGAAGACCAGTATTGCAACGACGGCTTGCCTGTCTCAATGGAGCTCTTCTTGCGCCCGGACGAAGGCCTTCGAAAAGGAGCCATTCGCCGGCCGGCTTCCTTCGGCATACATCTGGTATGTCCGTAACACCACAAAGGGTTGCTGCAACTGGTGTATGTCGCATTCTTCACACAGCCGTCATTGGCACGTATTCGTCAGATCCGCCCACTGCTTCAGCACTGGCCCAATTGCCATTAGCCGGAGCAGCACCTCGTTTCCTCCGCCGTGACAGCGCGCAGAATCCAACCACTGCGATCAACACCACAATAGAGACCACAATAGCCGCAATACCCCACCCTCCTATACCCCCACTATCACTTTCCTCTTCTTCCCCGTCGACCAACGCCACATCTTCGCCCATGGATTCCCGCAGAGCTTTCAACATTGGATCGGAACTCTCAAAATCTTCCGCATCTTCTTTTTTGACGGCCAGCCGCACTGTGAATTTTGTATCCTCGCCACTGGTGGCCCTTGCGGATTTGAAAAACAATTCTACGAAGTTGCCATCAAGGTCCGTTGCACTTCGCAGCTTCGGCAAGATCTCTGACTCGGTTTTATCCTCTATTTCGAATCGAGTGAGGCTAGATACCTTGAATTCGTGGTCCACGTATTGCCGTCCCTCGGGAGGGTCACCAGCTAGGTTAGTAAATGGACACTTGGAACCGACGACTTGCTCAGGTGCTTCCCCTAGGCTGTATGACCATATGAGATCTTCATCTTTCTTTGTTTTCAGATACGGATGAAAGATATGCACCAGTTCGCTAAGGTATTCATGCGGGCGAAACACTTGGGATTCGAAGAAATCAGAAGCTGAGCCCCGGATGGTTTTTGAATGGCTCCATACATTCCCACATCTCACCGAGGCAAGGCCTTTCGACAATTTTTTAAAGCTGTCATCACCTGCGGATTCCGGTCCTACAGGATCCTCAATGAACTGTTGGAGAGTTTTGTTATCAGTCAAAGGGTTCGTGCTTGTGTGAATCAGATAAGTTGCGCTTGAAAAGTTGCCGGTGATTTCCGAAAATTTCAGTGAATAACTTTCAATCGCTCCCCCGTCATCAAGCCTATATTCTGCATTGGCGTCCTTCACCATCGCGCTGATGTATTGATTTGGACCCGGTTGAGTCCAAAAGAAGTTTTCCTCGGGCTTTTGACCCTCTTTGTAGTTCCTGTCATGGGGATAATTAAAAAACACAGAGGGCCTTCGTTGAGCGCGACTGGCAAACTCCTTGGCCTTTAGGTATCGCTCTTCGACAGTGGTGAAAAATTTGTTGGCATCGGCGGGGGCTTCAAAGAGGAGTCCCAGAATCTTCATCCATTCGGCCCTGCCCAAGGGGTTTGCCTCGTTGACTTCACCAATTATAAGATAGGGCTTTCCCGTGTTGGCCTCTTCGTATGGCTCAATGTTGTAATGTCCGATGATGCTTAGGCTCACGGTGTCATCTTCTTTGATGGCGGAAAAGCCTTTGTCATACGGGATCGCTGTGGCTTTCTTATTAACGATGCGATCGACGACCTTTTGATTGTAGATGAATTTGACGTCACCTGTGTAGGTAAGCCACTCGAGATCCGGAAGAATGCGAGCCAGAAGACTAAGCGGGGGGCTCTCGGACACATAGACGCTGGATGGCTTTGTGAAGAGGACGGTAGTAGAGTCCGGGGTGTCGTCGGGTTTTGGGCAGCCGCATTTGACAAGACGGTATTGCCATTCCATGATTTTCTGTCCTTCGTTGGGGAATGGATCGCGGACTTCAAAGTCGACAAAGGTGTTGGAAAACTTCAACTTGGCAAGTGTTGAGTTGGCGTAGTCGATTTTGAGGCGTTCCGTGAAGTAGTTTTCGTCGGGATTGCACTCGGCGACAGGGTCATCGCACAGCTGAGGGTCTTGGGCAACGCACAGCAGGGGTAGAAGGAGAAGGAGCCAGAAGGAGAGAGGACGCAGGGAGCGTCGGAGGGCATAGGAAGGGGCCATGGTCCGGGGTGTGGGAGGGCGTGTGGGAGGGCGTGTGGGAGGGCATGTGGGGGGAGGTGAGCGGAGGCAGAGATGTAGTGGAATGGGACGGCGGTGGGGGTGGGGGTTGGACAAGAGTGGGGACGCGGGTACAGAATCGAAGAGGTTGGGGATTTCCCACGCAAGGCTTTCGGCATACAGCAACGGCAGTATCGATAATGAGGACGCTGTGATAGGTGGGCGGGCAGAGGGTGCTCATACTATGAGCACCCTCCGAGCCTCATACGGTAGAACGCCGGGTGAACACAAGTGATTAAAAGGGTCATTGAACTAAACAGTACTAAACAGTGAGTGCTGCTCACTGACCAGATGGACCTCTCGCACTCAAGGACTGTAATGTACTGCTCTGAGACGCGAGATTGCGTACAATGAGGTCGACAGATGGGGGGGATGGGTCGGTGCGTCATTGGGATGACGCAAGCAGGGAAATTCGAGACGAGACTAAGATACTACCCAAGGGTATAACAATTGTAGTTGACGCAAGGCGCGGGAGGCGTTTCTTCCAAGCGGCATTGGGCAAAAATGGTTCAACCAAAGTACACCAACATGATGTTGGTGTACTTTGGTTGGAGCATTTTGGGGGGGAGGGGGGGGGGGGCTCAGGAAGCGTGTAGAGGGCTGAGCTCAGCTCAGCCCTCTACACGTGTACGACTTTTCTGCTCCTCAGAGCTGGCAACCTGGCGAGGCGCCCCAGGTCTGCTGCAGCATGCCGCCCAGGCTTGCGACCCGTTCCTGTCGCCAATTCGCAGAACTATCACGCTTTATTCATTTTTCTATCGACCTGCCAACCTCCCCGCCACCGGTGCCCCCTCCCTCCTACACCGTGACGGGGCACTCGTCCAGAATGAGATTCTGCATCTCGAGGTGCGTCCTCTCGACGACCTGTAGCTCGCACTCGCACGCCTTTTCCTCGTCCGTGCACTGGTCGCCCTGGCACCCGAGCGGCAGCAGCAGCCGCCGGTGCTCGCCGTCCGCCGTGCACCTCCACACCGCCTCCGTGCGCGCCTGCTCCGCGCAGAAGTGCGTCGCACGCGCCTCGAAGTTCCCGTCGCACTTCTTCGCCCGCACAAACGAGAACGCACACACCCGGTACCGGCACAGCGGCGACGCCGCCGCTGCGTCCGTAGGCGCGTCCACGCAACGAGACACCTCCTCGCTCCGCCGGCACGTTATCACCTCCGTCTGCCCGAGCGAGAGCCCTAGCAGCGACGCAAGGAGCACCGCCACCGTCAGCACTGCGTTTCCGGATGCCATCCTGGTAGACATTCAATAATTCAACTGCTCTGAAACCTCTTGATCCTGATGCTGATGAATGCGTGAGTGCTTGGTCTGAGGTTAAGAGCGTGTATAATATGCGAGGGGAGTACCGCAAAGTATTTATAGAAAACACAGCGTGCCGGAGCAGTTCTGCCCCATCAACATTTTTAGCGCTACTTCCTTCCTCTCTACGGGGAGATAAAAACAACCTTTCACCCTCTCCGGGTAACATACCTCGTAAAAGTTCACTACCTCTGCACTACTACCCGACAAGGGATGGACTTTTTAAACCTTCCTGGCCAGACTACACATTCAATACATCATCTCCCATTCGGTTAATATGTCACCCTAAACGCATCTTTCTTAAGAGCGCAAGCATTTTCGAACCCGTCCTATTTCAAACCGGAAGAGAAGAGCCTCTAGAGCAGGAGACCACGATACTAATGCCTTGCTCTTCAACTGTCACCAATACCAATCCCCTGTCTCAAACTAAATTATCCGCAAAAGCAATTATGCCGGCTTTGTTCATAGCTGCTTGATATACTTCATATGCTCCTGCTGCGGGCTTCTCAAACCAAAGGCATGATGCTAAACCCCAGGCACCTATGACCTTTGACATGTCTTCCAAATTGCCCAGACTGTCTTCCAGAATCCCTTCACCTTTCGGGCCTTGCCCCCCTTCCCCTTTCAGATTGAGGCTATGACGTTTTTTTGTTGAAAAGTAACCTTTTGGGGGCGGCACTTGGATGCGTCTTGTTCATCTTAGAGTAGCATGAGAGTGGAATTGCTGCAGTACTGAATACTAACGATTTTGTAAGATTTCTTGGCACGAGCACAGGGGACAATGATCGCCAACTCACGAAAAAAAAAAAACCTTTGAAACATAGTCAAATGCAACATACAGCACATTCAACCCTGTTCTCCAAATTTCTGTGTATCCTTGCCCAGTTTTCTATAGTGCATATCACAGCTGCTCTTGACATGATCTAAAAAGCATTTGAGTCAACTATTGCATCCGAGTTTTCCACTGCAGCCGAACAAATCGGACTTTCGGCCAGTCGTCAGTGTCCGCCTCGAAGGGAAACGTCAGGTAAAAACATGGAAGACTCAGAAAGCGATAAACCGAGGCATCGGGCTGGATGGCTGTCAAAGGAAGGAAAACGTTTGAAGGGAAGAAATCGACGCTATCTAGTTCTGAAAGGAACAAAACTTTCTCATCATGTCAAGGAGAACATGCCACCGACATGGGAAATCGATATCAATAACATACGCCTTTCTTTAGGCGATAGGCCCCTCGAGTTTCTAATATCCGCTGGAGGTCGAAGCGTTGCGTTTTTTGCAGAAAGTCAAGATGACATGATCGGATGGATCCAAGCTTTAAAGTCTGCGAATAGCATTTTGGAAGACTTTTATCGCCTTGGTCGGCAACTCGGCAAAGGCTCGTACGGAGAGGTATTTCTTGCTGTCGACAAACTCAACGGGAAAAAGTATGCTGCGAAAAGAATAACCAAGAACCCGAACAACCGGAAGCAGAAGAAGTTTATTGAACGGGAGCGGGCCATCATGACAACCGTTCAACACAAAAATATCGTGAGAACTCTGGATGTGTTCGAGGGACCTAGTAAGCTGGAGATTGTTAGCGAATACATGGAAGGGGGCGAGCTGTTTGATCTCATCATCTCCTCGCAATTCTTTACTGAAGAGGTATGTTGGATTTCGAAACTTTGGGAGTGACTACGTCTCTTTAGAAACTAACAGTGGGCCTAAATCTATGTGTTCACTTCTTTCCTTCTTTACTATTGCAGAAAGCAAGACACATCATGAGACAGATTTTAGAAGGGGTGCAGTACCTTCATGCCAGAAATATAGTCCACCGTGACATTAAGCCCGAAAATGTGTTGTGCGTCGGCAAAACTTGGCCTCTCGAAGTGAAACTGACGGACTTCGGATTATCCAACTTCCTTAAAGATGGTGGTGCTGACGACGCGATGCTTTTGTCCCACGTTGGAACGTCATATTACATAGCACCGGAAATTGTTGGAAAGGGTGGATATGGGCCCGCTGTCGATATTTGGGCCTCTGGAGTTGTGTTATACGTAAGTTTAATTCATTATTGCCCGTTTGAGATGGGCACATTTCTTATTAGACAGATTTTATAGAGAATGCGGGCCCTGTTTTGTATTCTCTGTTGGAAGGTTATTCTAACTTCAAGTTTGAGCTCTATTGATACAGATCATGTTGTGCGGTCGGTTTCCATTTTGGGGAAAGACGGATATCGAGTATATGAGAAGTCTTTCGCGGGGGCCCTGTATGGTTGGAGAGGGTTGGGATGAAGTGTCAGATGAAGGAAAAGCTTTCCTGAAATTACTGCTTCAGGTCGACCCCAAGAGAAGGCTAACTGCAAGCCAAGCCTTGGAACATCCTTGGCTCAGCCAGGATGGTCCAACGTTGAACCGTCGGTTGTCCAGTATTTCAGGACTGGCGGTGATTGCTTCCAAGAACAAAAAAAGAATCTCAGAAGGAGCGGGAAAGCCCGCAACTAGCCCAATTGGATCTAAGGAGGATTCCGCTCATGACGTCGTCGTCGGGACACCGGATGTGGCGCAGTTGGGGTGATTAGCAGAAACGCGAAGTGACAGAGCAGGCAAAAAATAAGGTCGGCTTTACACCGCGCGACGTCGAGGTATTTACAACGTCGAACTCTACACGCCGCAACCTGGGCAATGGTGCAGCGAGTCATGGACAAAAGCATCACAGTCAACGCAAAACACCTTTACGCAGCTTGGGCAAAGGAGACGCAGCGAAGCTTCTTTTTCGAGTAGTTTTGCACATCCTGTGCAGCGTAGCACGTCTATCGGAAGTAATTTCATAGCCTTTGCGAACTTTGCTTCATCCTCTTTCGATTGTAAACGTAGATCCAGATCACTGGTTTCAAGCGAAATGAATTTAGGAACCGGAAACAAGTGATGGTAGGATCTTGCTAAGTGAGGGCTTGAAACAAGTGTGAGTCCGCACAGAGTACATTCACATGGCATTTCGCTGAGCCATCCCGAACAGCGCGGACAGTTGTATCCTAGTCGCCCTCTGACGCTTGGATTGTTACAGTATAATGTGGGCTCATCAATCCGTTGAAGTATTGGGTATCCCATCCGGATGAGAGAGGCACTGACCTGTTTCGTTGTGGTCGGCGGTGGAATAACGTGACTGCCGAGGGAGTCGCGGAAATGCTCCTCGTTCATCGCTATGGAGTATGTGCCGTTTGTGCTCTTTGTCAAGACACGGAGAATATGTAGCTCTGCACCGAGTCCTACGGCAGAACACCTCACTTTGGAACTGGCGAGTAAATTAATTGTAGCATGAATATCCCCAGGATCGCATGTGGACAACGATCCGTAGCACACAATAACTTCTTTCATTGCGTAAGGCGGAACGGTGGACAAATTCTTGTTGGCAATCTTGAGCGCATTCTGCAGAGATGCTGCACCACTCGGTCCTAGACGCAAAGCCTTTCGCATGGCCTCGATGTGATGCTTCTCATTGGAAGAAAAGCTAGACAACTTGATGGCCTCATAGTCTCGGGTCATGACGACGCTCAATTGAGAAATGGGGTTCTGATCGAAATACTCCTTGGCAAAGCTCGAAACGGACTCGCAGAAAAGGTCGGCGCGAGACGGCTTCAAATCTGTTGCTCGCACGTGCTCGGACATGTCGATGATGAGTACGCAGAACCGAATGATGCCGCGTCTCACGCCCGTGAAACCGTCGTCGCGGCTTCGCTTTCGGGCAATTTGTTTTTCGCGGACGAAGGACTTGAGCTTTCCAGTCTCCGGATCCTCCTCGATTTGATCCCAGGACCTAACGTTGCTGGATTCCCATGCATAGGCTTCCTTGGCGCGCTTCAGTTCATCGTCGTCCTTGTCGACGTCCACTTGTTTGCGGGCGCGGGCCCTGGCGGCTTGCGCGTACATGGCGGAAAAGCAGGGAATGGCTTTTCAGGCTGGCAGAGAGGACGGTTAGAGCACTGCGTTTGCATGCGAAAGGCATGAGTGAGCACTCTGGGGACTACTGAATTAGGAGCATGGCATCGATTCTCTCCAGGACACGAGTGTGTTTGCGAACTGTTGTTGGTCGTTGTCGATGGCTCGCTTAACGAAGTATTCACAATAATGCGGGTTCCATGGACAAAGTGTCGCGGTGTCAAAGCTTATGGCCTTATCACGAATGATTGGCTAATTCTTTGGATCAAAATTTCGAGCTCTCCACTTGCCTCGGGTATTAAGTTAATACTATTAACACACGCCGTTCATGCCTTCACGGCCCACTCCCTGCGGGAAGTGAGTGCTCTCTACTTGCATACGCGAGGACTGTGGGGCAGACGGAACCTTGTCTTCATCAACTTTTGTGCTTTTTATCATCTCATCCACTCCCGTGGCAATTCCAAGGATATCCATCGCACCTGAAAGAAGACCCCGCGTGCTACCACCAACCACCCAAATTAACCAGAACCCAACCCAAGCGATGCGAACTTCCATGCCTCTCTGCTGGGTGTCCTGCAATGCTGCCTCCTTTCCACACCCGCCCAACCCCCGCTCACCTCCACTGTGTCGCACTTCTCTACCGCCGTCTGCCGCGAGGGTCGCTTGCCGCCTCCAATACAATGGCGCAGCCTTCCATGGCTGGGAATCCAAGCCGGACTTCCGAACGGTCGAATCAACTTTGGAACGCGCCGTTGCTGACGTACTAGGGACATACGTCAAAATCACAGCAGCCAGCCGCACGGATGCGCGCGCCCACGCGATTGGACAGGTCGTGCATTTTGACGTTGACCAAGGGCGCGGGCTAGCAGATGCGAGGTGAGTTGCCAGCTTTGCCTTGATTTGGGAAGTTCGAAAAGGCCAATTGGGGGCATTTGTACTGACGCGATGTATTTACGGACTGCGATGGACTGGTCCGGGACATTTGGTGAAAAGAGCGTGGGTAGGTGCTTTAAATCGTCGCCTTCCCCAAGATGTCCGTGTCATGGATGCAGCTTTCGCAAACAAAGAGTTTAACGCTCGTCGCAACGCTTTGTGGCGTCGATATCGCTACACAGTGCGAACTGCGCGATCGCCTTCAGTATTCATGGCACCATTCACCTGGCATTGCTACACCAAACCCCTCGACGTTCCCGCCATGAACGCCGCTGCTCAAGTATTGAAATCTGCCGTCCCTCTAGACTTGTCGGCTTTCCGGAAGGCGAACGCCCCTGCGTCGCACACCATGATCACCGTCAGCAACATTAGCGTGCGCACCGCGGATAACAACGCTAACTTAGTAGAGCTGGAGGTTACCGCCGATTGGTTCGTGTATGGGATGATGCGTCTTCTGGCCGCGACGCTCATTCAAGTCGGGACTGGAAGTATTGCGCTCTCGGAGTTTCGAGAAATCGTGGACAACGGATTGAGACAAAAGGTCAAGTTTTCTGCACCCCCAAACGGGTTGTGCCTTTTGTGTGTCGGGTACCCTGATGAGATCAATCCGTTCACTTTATCAGGTGACATTAATGTGGCCAGAGAGATAATGACGGGTGGAATCATGTCTGCGACATGACTTGAACTAGACGCAGGATACTGTCGTCATCAAGTGTGGTCCATATCTGGTCTAATGGGTTTACCACGACACGATTGACAATTTTTTTGTTAGATGGAGTCTCTGGTTTGAATGACGTTTTCGACTAGTGGGATGCGTGTGTTCGATCAAGTTTGCGAAATGTCCCAGAGTTGGCAAATGGTGCACGACTCTTCCGCACTACTTTGACGGGTCGCTCGAGATACCCCGATTCTTGCGGATACAGCTTCTTCGATCGATCCCAAACGTTTTTGGCACGTGCTAACAGGTGCCAAGCATTGAAATACCGTTAACAGTTTATTTAGTGGTATGGCGGCCGGGAGCCTAGAAAGATGAGCTCTATCGAGCTCTGAAAACACACAGAAGTCGAAAAATGCAGCTTGAATCATACAAAGCCTACTTGTACCGAAATACTCCGAGATATGTGCATATTTAACAGACGGATTTCGGTCCTTCTCTTAAAAACTCATATTACTTCGTAGCTTCAACTGGGCGGTGGCGGTTGATACTGTGGTTGTGAGTAAGAGATTTGGTTATTCATCAAACTCGATTGCGGTTGGTACTGGCCATGCTCAGGCTGAACGCCTGCTTGATGCGCATACGGTGTGCTTGTCGGGGGGTACATGTGGGGAGTGTGATAGCTGTACGGTGATGGGATTTGTGAGTACGGAGATGCGGGCACGCCTGGCTGCGGCATACGGTACGAATACACACCAGGCGTCTGCGCGGATTGGTGGGTCTGCATTGGTGGCTGCAGATGGAGGGGGGCTTGGGTTTGCATTGGGTTCGAAGCATGTATGGGTTGCTGCCCAAAAGTTGGCGGCGAGAGATGCATAGTTGTGGGTGGCATCGCCTGAAACGTGAGACGAGATGAACCTTGTCGACTGGCTGGGATGTAAGGTCCCGCGGGTTGGCCGTTCGGATTGCTCGACGGGGCGCGCCGGGGCTGCCTTGACGGTCCTGGTGTAATGTCGCCAGGTTTGATGCCCTTGCTGCGCATGTAGGAAACGAGTTGGTCTGGTATTTCGTCGAGCACCTCCTTGGCAAGCTTCTTGGGATCATAGCGGTGATTGTGAAACTGTACAAACTGGACGATATCGCGAGCGCAGGGTGTGCCATCCGTTGAGCAAAGCGGAGTGTCGTCACCGTCTAGGCGTTCCAGTTTCACAAATCTCGAGTTACCGACACCGACAATAACAATAGATAACGGGAGATCTGCGGCGGAGCAAATCAAGTTGGCGACCTGCGGGAAATCGGAAAAGTCGCCGTCGGTAACTAGCAGTAGCACTGTGTACATGGCTCCATTGGTGCGTGCGTTTTCTTCGCGCACCATTTGGATAACGTGCTCCAGGACAGGGGCGTAATGGCATGGCATGTACGGACCGACATTGTTGAGGGCGTTGTAATACATCTCGACGACGCCTTCGACGCCTTGGCATACGGGCTGCATAATGTTTCCGGTGAGGGCGAAAACGTGAGCTGTCTCTCTGAAGACAGGTGGTAGAGTGGCTCCAAATCCAAAAGCGGGAAACGCGTTGGACGTATCATAGGCAGCGAGAACATTGCCAACTTCCTGAAGCGCGATGACATACTCGTTGGGGGCGCGTCTATTATTGTAGTGAAGCGAGCTGGGATCGCTCGGGTCGCCGTTTGTTGCTGACATATCAACGGCCACAACTAGGTTGATGTTCGTACCGCTGCGAATATAATCCAAGAAGGAGTATGGGACTGAAATTTCACACTTCTTCAACAACAAGGTACCTGCGTCAACGAGATTCCCATTAGTTTTGTTCTTGACAAGCGGATACCTGACGGTGGTCGCGGAGCTAATGGCGATTTTTGCAGTCCGGAGGGTGAAGGTTGCGCATCCGCCGCGATAGTGTTTTCCCCAGCGATCGTAATCCATGAACTGAACTTGGAGCTCCCTGTCCAAATCGCCATTAACAAGCTTGGCCAAGCTCTTGGTGATGGGCTTAAACGTGGTGACCTGGGAGGAACTCGAATAGCCCTGATGGACCTCGGAGTAGATGACTGGGGAGTAGTTGCTGTCGTTGGCGTTTTTGCGACTAAGTACATAAAAGGGCTTGCGGGCGCGTCGGAGATTTCTGGCGGCAAACTGAAGGGTGACGCTGTCGCCCAGGTCGCCTTTTTCCTCCTCGCCCCGAATAGTCAGAAAGCCGGTCTTGGCCCCTATCTTGGCGCCGGGTTTCGTCACCTGGCTCTTAAAGGTCTGATTATCGGCGAGGACGATCTGGGCAATGGTGCAGCGGACCTCGCCGATGTAGTCCTGTTTGGAGAGATCATCGTCCTTTGAGTCACGATCATAGATGCTAAAGCGGAGGAGGAAGTTTGTACCGAAATTATATTCGAGGGAAAAAGTGGTGCTCCATTTGGGGCACAGGTCATTGTACACGGTTTCGGTCTGACCCAGTTTGGCCCAGTCTTCGCGCGCGGCGTTGGTGTCCACCTTGCGATAAACGACAACGAAAGGGTCAGACTTTCCGCGGCGGTCCATATTGGGGAGCTGAGAGGCCTCGAGCTGGAGGGAGATGTGCATGCAGCGGGAAAAGTCATCATCGGCAGCAGCGGGAGCTGCGCCCAGGGCAGCGCCAACGCCGGAGGTGATGGAGTCATCTCGGGAGGTGCGGCCATAAAGGGAACGCGAACAATGCACAAACGCCATCGCTGA